TCTACCTTCTGTGCTCGATCGTTACATTTTCATTTTTTTTTTCTTTTTTTACAATGACGCTTCCATTTTATTACAAATTATCTTCATTATTCGACAGGAGAAAAGCATTTTAGCGCCTCATACAATGGACCAATATATATCTATAAAAGCACGACTGTGAGATGCCACCTCGTTCAATATTATATTTATATATATAGCTCTAATATTTTTTACCGCACCAATTTTTCCGACGATCGAGTTTTATTGTGTTTTGACATGGAGAAGATGAGACTGGGTTTCATATTTATACGTGTTTTCTTACATATCTCAAGATCTTATCCATAAGACGAGTTTATATTATAAGAAATAACCTAATGTCCGACATTATATTTTCTCTATTCTTTTTTTTTGACCTTATCTTTCCTGGGGGATCAAGTGGAACATGTAACGTTTTATTATATATTAGTATATATATTGGATTAATAAATATGATCCTTGCTAGATCGGTGCTCTTTTCAAACTATTATTATATATAAATATCTATTCCTTATTATCGAATTAGAAAATAATTATTGAATAGTTCGCTTTTTTCTATACTTTCTATTATAAATTTTAATTTATTTTCAAATGTAATAAAATTCTTCGCAGAAATTCAATTATGTTCAAAAATTGTTTTAAATTCTCGTCAAAATTTCAATTATCTTTAGAAATATATTAAAATACTTCTCCGAAATTCAATTATTTTCAAAAATCATAATGAAATTCTTGGCAAAACTTCAATCGTTTTCAAAAATTTTCCTCCATTAAATGATTTTTAATATTTATTATTTCAATAAAATTTTCCAAAAGAAATTAATTATTAAAAGCAAATTTGATAAAATGCTACGCAAATATTTAAAAATTTTCATAAAATAATAAAAATTTCATAGGAATTCAATTATTTACAAATTTTTTATAAATTTCTCCGCAATAATTCAATTATTTTCATAAATAATAAAATTTTTACAGAGATTCAATTATTTCTGTAAATATTAAAATTCTTTTTAAGAACTCAATTATTTTCAAAAATAATAAAACTCATCGTAGAATTTCAATTATTTTTAATACATTTTAATTTATTATTAATAATTAATAATTTAATTTAATTTTAATTGTTGATAAAATTCTTTATGAGAATTGAATTTCAAGAAAAATTCAATTATTCAATAAATTATTTATTTTTGTATTTAAATAATTGAATTCTCGAAGAATTTTCTAATAATTGAATTTTGGAGAAGTTACAAACAATTGCAATAATTTAATTATTTTAAAAAGTAATAAAATTGTTCGCAAAAATTTAATTATTAAAATTTTTTTTTTTTTAATTTCTCGTAAAAATTCCAATTATTTTTATTAAATAATAAAATTCTTCTGGAAAATTCAATTTCAACGATTTTTAATACAATTGTAATCAAATTTCTCGAAAAATGTAATTATTTTTAAAAATTTTATTAAAATTGCGGTTTAAAGAATATAATTATTAAATTATTCCTCAGAGCAATTCAATTATTTAATAAATTTTAATAAAACTCTTCTCAAGAATTCAATTCTTTCCAAAAATAAACATTTTCACAGAAATTCAATTATTTGAAAAAAATGTAATGAGATTTTTCGTCAGATTTCAATTATTTTTAATTTTTAAATGAAATTTCTTGATGGAATTTAATAATTTTCAAAAAGTTTTATAAAATTCTGAGAAATTCAATTATTTTTCTCTTGAATTCAATTATTTTCACAAATAAAATTCTTCACAGGAATTCTTTAAAAAAAATGTTTAATAAAATTCGTTGGAAGAATTCAATTATTTTCAAAAATAACAAAACTTATCGCAGAATTTCAATTATTTTTTATACAATTTTTAAAAAAGTGATAGAAAATTGCACTTATAAATTTTTTTTCTAAATTCGCCAAAAGAATTCTATTATTTTAAAAAATTTTAATAAAATTCTTCATAAAAATTCAATTTTAAGAAATATTTAATTATTTAGTAAATTATTTATTTTTGTATTTAAATAATTGAATTCCCGAAAAATTTTCTAATGAAAATTGTTTAAAAAATTAATTTCACTTAAAATTTTTAATTTATTTATATTCAAATTAAAATCTTTGAAAATTTGAATAGTTACAATATTTCTTATGATATATAAATTATGATTTTATCACTCTGTTATCTTAAATTTATTAGAAAACATGAAGAAATTTAATTTATATAGTTTATTAAGTAAAATTTGCTCTTATTTGACTCTTATATTTTTTTCAGTATAATAATTATAGGTCCGTAAATGGTCCGTAATTTTTCATTTTTGGTCCGTAAAGTCCGTATTTTTTAATACTGTCGCGGTTCGAGCCCTGATTTATTTAAATTTTATGTTGGTTTTAAACAAAAGAAATATTTAACATTAAAAATTAATTTTCAAAATTTAAGTAGGGTGCTGATAACTTATATATACTATAGTTTCAGTTTCATTTAGTCAATAATTATATACTCTTGAATATTTCAAACAAAAACTTTAATTTCGTTTATTTTATAAATGCCCAAAATAAAATATACATAATTATAAAGGAACTAAAGCGTATTGTTCAAATATAAATCGTTATCGTTAAATATAAATAAAATATATATAAATCGTATACATACATCATAAAATGAATATAAACGTGCGCACATATGTATATTTTAAATTTAAAACAGAAATTGAACCTGTTTTTCCATAAAAAATATATTGTATGCGGAAAAAGATTGATGATATATGGATTTGGAGCAACCAGTGTATATATATATATTTGAAAAATGATTCTCGAGTTTTGAAAATCATAAATTCAAGTGTTACATTCGCGAATTGGTGCATATTATCAAAAAAAAATAGAGGAAGTGGGGACATAGCAGGGTTGATGTATATATGCGCGCGTTCATCCAAAAAGCTCTGCCAATGAATAAATATGAAATATGACGTTAAAAGTTTGCGAAAATATGCAATGCGAGGCATTCGCGTTGTATTTCCGCCAGATGAGGGCCAGATAGCGAGGACTGTTATTTACAACAAAACGTAACAATTGCAATTTGAGCCACAGGGTCACGCCACTCAATGCTCATGAAAAAATATATGTATAACGTGTATACACCATATACAAGTATATATATATATATATATATATGTATAAAATATATATATATATATTTATATGTATGTATCTGTACGTACATATATTCACTATTATAGGTTTATATATATGCACACAATAGAAAATATATACACGCCATATTGCCAGTAGTGCGGCTTGCTTGGAAATTGTGTTTTGTAAAAGCCGAACGGCAGATATGAAACCAGCATGGCGGATGCTTACAAATAGTTGCAGGGCGGCGCCCCATCCTGCCTCACCGCTTTTAATGTGCTCTCCCGTCTTTTGTCCCTGGTTTATAAAATGAGCTCTCGCCAACCGTGTTCCAAAACGGATTCTGAGTAAAGGACAATAATAAGAGGCGGGCAATTCATCTCATTCATTCTCTCTCTCCCTCTCTCTGCTTTCAAAACAAAAAAGAAAAAAAAATTTCACAAATCATTTCCAAACATCAAATTCACACTCACATTTATTTTTAAACTACTCCGAAAATTTTTTAAATCTGGCAATGGTAGCACAAGTTTTTTTAAAGATGGTACAATTTTTCTTGATGCTGCATAATGTTCGGATTATGGAACTTGTGGTATACTAAACAATACTCCGAAAAGATTTTAAATTATAGCAAACATAGCAGTGATTTTTTTTTTTGAAAATACTGCAAACTTGATGATGGAACTTGTAGTATAAACATACTGCGAGAAAACTTTAAATAATAGCAAATGTAGCATTGATTTTTTGAAAATGCTGCTAAATTTTGATGATGTAACTTCTAGAGCTAAACATACTCCGAAAAAACTTTAAGTAATACCAAATGTAGCATTCGCTTTTATAAAAATGATGCAAAATTTTGATGATGGAACTTGTAGTACCAAATACCGTCTAAAAAATTTTTAAATACCAATAGCAAATATATAGCATTAGCCTTTTTTGAAGATGGTATACAATATTCATTTGCTAGAACTTTATATATTCTAAAAACTTTTTAAATAAAAAATGTATTCGTTTGTTTAAGGATGCTACAACATCCAAATGATGGAAGTTTACATACAACAAAAGTTTTCTGAATAATAGCAAAAGTCCTTTTGAAGATGCTTTACAATATTCATATTATCTACTAGAACTTTATAAAGTTTATACTAAATGCTTCTAAAATTTTAAACAAAATTTGAAGTATTAATATTAGTTTCTTTTAAAGATGGTAAAAAATTCAGATGATGCGGAACTGTAATACTATAATCATAATCCAAACATGTTTGAAGTAATATAAACAAATACGGCACTAGACTTTCTGAAAATACTACAATATTAAGGATATGATACAACTAAAGCACTAAACATAATCCAAACAATTTTTAAATAATAGCAAATGAAGCATTAGCCTTTCTAAATATGCTTCAATGTTCGGATGATGGTATACTGATCTATACAGTTAATTTTCCAAAACTTCTCTGAAAATTAATTTCAGAGAAAAGACAGTCTATACATGTAAAGATTCAAAATTTATTCGAGCACACAATACGGACATATGTGCGATTACCAACAATATTCATATACATCCATATACTTAACCCGTCTCTTTATATACAAAAATACAAATAAACATATTCAGTATACATAGAAATATTTTTTTTCTTTTTGAAAAGAATCAGGAACGAATCCACCTTCGAAAATGATATCGAGTTGGTTGTATTCGGTTAAGAATCATCACCATCTCCACAGTTACCTTCAGTATAACCGCTGGATGGAGGTTGAAGATCAATATCTCAACATAGGGGGCGAGGTATAGCGTTAAATTCCATCGTGAACCGCCTCTCGTCTACCATTGGCCGCTATATTCATCGCAGCACACTCTCTACAATTCCCTTTTCACCATTCCAAAATCATGGGCGGCGCTTGCCTCCAAGGAATCACTAAAAGGAGGGGGAGGTCACACGCTAACCAGTCGTTCCTGTCAACCAAGATCATAAATCATAGTCAGTCGTTCACAAAACGTGTTTCGGTCCACCGTGTGTTGACTAAACCCCAAAAAAAAAATCTACAGAGAACTTCAGTGATCCTAAAGTGAACAGTGATACAATTGTGGGAGTGGAATTTTTTTACAGTGTAAAAACAAACAGAAGAGAAAGTTGGATATCACTGAAGAAAAGTGGACTTTTGAAAATTTGTGATTTTTTTGAATAAAAGTGAAGTGATTTTTAAAAAATATTTTTAAAAAATATTTTTAAAAAAAAATTTTAAATAAAAAGAAATAAATAAATATTATTTAATCTAAATAATATTTATGAAAGGTTGAGTTTTACTGTCGAGGAAAATTTTCGCGATGTGTAACAATGAGAGTCCACCGCCATCAAAAGAGCCACTATCAGTGGGTCTTGGAACTCCATTTTTCCCCGGTTTGGAACACTATCGTCTTCAATTGTACCACTATGCAATGACCGAACGTCTTCGTTTGGCGCAACAACTACATCCTCAACATCCTGGAGTACATCCACAATCCGGCGGACCAACATCGGCACATTTGGGTATGGCACCCGGTTTTCCAGCGCCACTACCACTTTATCCGGCCGCAGCCGGTTATCCAAGTCGATTAGCCCTCTCAATGGCCCTTCTTCATCCACATCATCAACGAATACCAGAGGAACCAAAACCCCAACACAGTTACATTGGTCTCATTGCCATGGCAATTCTCTCATCACCCGACAAAAAACTCGTCCTCTCCGATATTTATCAACACATTTTGGAACACTATCCCTACTTCAGAACTCGTGGACCAGGCTGGAGGAACTCAATCCGACACAATTTGTCCCTCAACGATTGTTTCGTGAAATCGGGCCGAAGCGCTAATGGAAAGGGTCACTATTGGGCAATTCACCCGGCGAATCTCGAGGATTTTCGACGGGGCGACTTTAGAAGACGCAAGGCACAGCGTAAAGTCAGAAAGCATATGGGATTAGCTGTCGATGAGGAACCCGACAGCCCAAGTCCTCCGCCTCTACCCGCAACACCACCACCCTCTGCTCCATCCCTACGACCAACAAGTGCTCCCATGTCTGGAATTTGGAGTCCCCATCATCAGCCACAACAGGACCAATCGCATCCGAACTTTAAAAGTGAGTACCCTAAACACACACAAAATTCTAAACTATTTGATTCCTAAAAAACCTTCCTAAGTTTATGATGATGCAGCATCAACTCAATGTTTGTTTTCACTCCTTAAAATTTCGAATCTTTTTAAAGTAGAAGTAGTACTGGGTGTAGAACTACTTCCAGTAGGTAAAGCATCAGAAATAATCAAAATCAGTATAGAACTAGAAGTAAAACTACTTCTAGTAAGTAAATCATCAAAAAACGGGTAAAAATCGTCAAAAAAAACGGTATAGAAGTAGAAAGAAAACTACTTCTAGTAGAAGTAAATCATCAAAAAGGTATAAAAATAGAAGTACAACTACTTCCAGTAAGTAAATCATCAAAATCAGAATAGAACTAGAAGTAAAACTACTTCTAGTAAATAAATCATCAAAAGGTACTAATTTTTCCTCTTTTTTTCCAGTGTTTCAGAATCAGGGTCTCAGACAAGTGTGTCAGCCGTCGAGAAAGAGGCAATTCGACGTCGCATCACTTCTTGCACCCGACGATCAATTAGAATCCCTGAGGCCAATGAAATCGAGAAAATTCAGTTGCAGTGAAGATGAGCACGACCTACAGGAACCGGAACCAGAAGCCGATCATGACGAGGAGGACGTCGATGTGGATGTCGACGTCGATGAGGAAACCGAAGTCAAACCACTTTTATCACCAGTCACACCGTCAGCAAGTCCCGAGGCAAAATTAAGTCCAATCAATGGTCACTGCAACTGGAGTAATCCAACTCTACAATCAAATATCTGTCAATCAATATCGGGACTTCATTTACACAATCATCTTCACGTTCGAAATTACTACGTGCCCAGTAATTCAAGTTCTGGATCAAGCATCTGAATCAACTATATGCTATCATATCTAAAATGACTTTTCCCAAGAGACTCTAGTCTGATGAAAAAAAAATCCTAAAGAGCGGAATTTAGTGCGATTTTTACAAGTGATCATCATAAAATGTGCGATATTTAGTGTGATTCAAAGTTTTTTTTTTAATTCTGTCAAATTTTTGTTTAACAGTCAAAATTTAAAACATTGAAAATTCAATCACAATTTACGCACTTTCAAAAAAAGGATCAAACAATCCTCCCTTTTCTAAACTATTTTCCTATAAAAAAATCATGTACAGAAAATTTTTTCTCCCCCTCTCGATATTCTTCGCGTAATAAAGTGCGCGTGAAATTCATGTAAATAGCGAATTGTACATAAAAGAAATTGGGTGGGTATATAAAATAGTTGTTGTTAGAAAAAAATATATAAATATATTTAAATAATAATTGACTGAAGTGATCTCGATTTTAAAGTGTAATATATATTTTGCGGAGATTAAGGTCTGAAATTATATATATGGCGAATTTATATTGAAATTGCGAGAAAAATTCTATATGCCATATATATGAATATTAGTAACAGTCGGAGATAATGTATAAAAAACAAAATAAATTGGGTGTCAATCCTTTCATCCCGTATGTATATGTATGAATGATGTACGACTGTACTTAGTTAGGTAAATGTAAATACAACATTATTAAAGAAAAAAAAAAAATAAAATAAAAATCTCCTGAGTCAGAAAACGTGCGACAGAATTTCTAATGACCAGCATCATCATGAATATTTAAAATAAATTCTGCCTCGTACGTTTCACTCATTAGAAGAAATTATGTGCACGGACAACTGTTGCAATGATGGATATATGAACTTTAATAAAAAAAAAGTCTGTTCTCACAAATTTTTCTTATGACTTTCCTTTATTTACAAAACACTCCAAAAGAACCATTTTTATTTATACTTTTTAATAAATTTTTAAAAAGATGATAATTTTTAATTTCGATAATTTTTTATAATTTCAATTTTTACTTAAATAATTATTTTATAATTTAAATATTTACACTAATTTTAATAATTTAAACAGTTGCAATCATTTTTTATAACAATACAATTTTTCTTAGTTCTTTTAGTATCTCTTAGTTCCAGAATATTGGAAAAATATTACAAAATTAAATTAGAAAACATTTTTTTAAGGATTGGTTACTGTAATAAAATTTAAAAAGTCGAGTTGCATTCTAACAGGTTTCACTGTATCTGGCCAATAATAATAAAATAAGAAAGTAATCAAAAAGAAAATTTTAATAATTTAAATTACTTCAATAATTATAACGATTTAAATCATTTCAGCATAAATTTATATCAATTTAATAATTTAGTTCCAATAATATTAATACAAAATTTTCAATAATTTTGAATGTCAAATGATTAATATTTTATTTTAATTCATTTATATTTAGTTTCAATAATAAATAAATAGAAATAAATAAATTTTCGACTGTAAATCATTCGACTAAAATAAGAATTTTAACGGCAAGGAGAAAAATCTTTTAATACATTTTTTTATTATGAGACAATATTTCTTATTTTTTTGTTAAGTAACAATTAAATGTTATAATTCGCATTCTTATTTATTTACATTGAAAAAAAACAATTCAAATAAATATTCCTGGTCTCCTAACTGAAAGATATTTTACTATTATTTAATTGACTATTTACTTATTATTATTACTATTTATTATAACTATTATTTACTATTATTTATTTGTATTTTTTTATTTATTTATATTTTTTGTTTATTTGTGTTTTTTAATTATTTACTTATATTTTTATTATTCATTTGTACATTTTAAAATTATTTATACTTTTATTTTTTGTTTACTAGTATTTTTTTTATTATTTCTTTACATTTTTATTTATTATTTTTTTTATTTACATTTTTATTTTTTATTTGTACATTTTTTTAATAAATATTTTTTGTTATTTTTATTTTTTTGATTGTTAACTTGTATTTTTCTTTGTTTATTTATATTTTTTAACTTTTATTTACATATTTTCACTAAATATTTACTTGAATTTTTTTCGTTTACAGTCGAACCTGTAGAAATGTAACTCAATTTTAAAAATTTTTTTGTATTAAAAAATGTTCAACAAGAACTGTATTTTAAAATTTTTATTGCATTAAAAAATATCGAACAAGAACCATTTTCATTTAGTTCCAGAATATTGTAAAAATATTATAAAAATTAAGTTATGAAACAATTTTTTAAGGATTGTATACTGTAATAGAATTTTTAAAATCGAGTTGCATTCCGACAGGTGTCACTGTATTTCCATTTTTTTGTTATTTATTAATATTTATTTACATTTTCTTATTATTTATTTATATTTCTATACATTTCCTTATTATTTATTTAGATTTCTTTAAATTTTCTTATTATTTATTTATAATTTTCATTATTTATACAAATATTTATAAAGAAATATATAGGGCGGTATAGACATTTATAAAAAGTGTTATAAATTTCAAAAAATTATTTTTCATCCGGAATTTTAATTTTGTTCAGTAATTACTGGAAAAAAATTAAGTTACATACAGTGAAACCTGTCCGGATGCAACTCGACTTTTTAAATTTTATTACATTAAACAATCCTTAAGAAATTGTTTTATAATTTTACAATATTTTTACAATATTCTGGAACTAAGTGAAAATAATTCTTGTTGGACATTTTTGAATACAAACGAATTTTTTAATTAGAGTTACATTACGACAGGTTCCACTGTACTGAAAAAATAATAAACTTATTATTTTCTTGAAAAGTGGTATAAATTTTACAAATTGTTGCTTTTTCATTCGAAAGTATATTGTTCAGTAATTACTGGAAAAAAATTAAGTTACATACAGTGAAACCTGTCGGAATGCAACTCGACTTTTTAAATTTGATTACACAGTAAACAATCTTTAAAAAATTGTTTTATAATTTTACAATATTTTTACAATATTCTATGGAACTAAGTGAAAATAATTCTTGTTGTACATTTTTCAACAAAAATTAAAAAAAAAAATTTTTAATAGAGTTGCATTATGTCAGGTTCAACTGTAATAAAAAATTTCATTCTAAATAGAGAAATTAAAAAAAATCAACAACGATTTTGAACAGTTCGAGAAGGAAAAATTTATACCAACTTCACGAATAGAAATACATAAATTAATACAGAAATTGAAAATAAATTACTGATTGTTGATAAATGTCTAATAATTGTTGAACTAAGGTTAACAAATAAGGAAAGCAACAAGTTGTGTCACTAAAAGAATCGAAGATATTTTGTTATATATATACACACATATATACATATAAAATACGAAACCTTCGAAGGATATTCGTGCGCGCGCGTTTCGAACTCTTGACCGCGTAATCCGACGGAATGAGTACAATGGTAAATAAAGGGATATTTTTTTTTTTTTTTTTTTTTTTTTTTTTGAAAAAAAGAGACCTCGAATGTGTGTAACTTTGAAAAACTTGAAATGTCTGCGAGAAAACCTGTTTGTCATTTAATAAATGGTATTCACAGGCCCATTAGTTAATGCACACAACAGCACTTGACGTTGTCTCTAATATATACTCATATTGAAACGCTCGTCTTGACAATTTTGTTTGAAATAGAAAATCTGGTACGTAAGTGTTAACACACAACTTTTGCAATTTTACCTCATTCTTTTCTTGAATTTTTAAAAAAACATGAAAAATATTTATCCATCATTCTAAAATGCGAAAAAAGAAATTTTCATTCTCCAATTTCTCTTATTTAGAAAATATGCGATTATTTATAACTAATTTTCCTCATTTTCAGGGATTCGACTTACTTTTGGACTTTTTTATTTACTTTTCTGAAAAAAAATTTGACTTTTCTTCAAAATTTTAGTAACAATAAAGAAACCTTTTCCAAAAAACAATGCACTTAAAATTTATTTCAAACTTTATTTTCGATTAAATCTAAGTTGATTAAATTTTCGAAATATAAAGTTTATAAATAATTAAAATTTTTGTAAAATTTTACTGAAAAAGTATATTTTGTATTTAATTAAAATTTTTAAAAATAAAATTAATTAAAAATTCAACTATTTTCAATATTTTCAATAATTGATATTAATAACAAAAAAAAAAATGATAAAGCGTTCCAGTTACAATTATTAGAAAAATTTGAACTTTTTTATTTAAATAATTTGAAAATTCTCAAAGAAAAATAGGAAAATTATTTAATAATTAAACAAAAATTATTTTAAATTACAATTATTAGAAGTGAAGATAAAAATGGTGCGTATAAAATATTATTACTTTGAAATATTTCAAAATTTTTTCTTTTGCGAAATAAAAATATTACGAATTTTGTTGCCCCCCCCCTCTCCGGTTCATTTTTCATAAATACGACGCAGACAAGTAAGAAAATGATGATGTGTATAAATTTTTGGGGAAATTCTCATTTTTACCAGAGAGGAGTATTAGTGATCGTGCCTCGTGCGTTTATCCGAGACTTTGCTTTTCCCCAAAATTCAAGCATTATGGCACCTGGACAACATGTCGAGCTAAGTATAGATAATAACTGTTTATCACAAATAATTCCTTAAGAAAAAAAGAGGGGCCTGCCTACATAACAGAGAAGACAATGTATATACAAAACCGCAAATCCCTTACGCGTCCGAAAACTATTAGGATTATCTCCTTTATTCTTTTTTCTTATAGTTGGAAAAATATTCACTTTCCTATATATACATAATTATTAGAGAACTAATTCCCGTATTTAAATTTTCTCAACTATCTAATTAGAATTCTTGGGGAAGATGGGAATTTTTTTTTTCAAAACCCTTTTCGTACAGAATACAAGAAATGTGTGTATGTATTTAAAAAAAATGTAAACTCATTATTTTTTCAAAAATAAATATATAAAAATGTGTATTTCCAAATTTCAAAATAAACTGAATTTTACCTACTTTTCGATAATAAATTAAAAATTAAAATTTTTTTTCCTGAATTAGTTAAAAATAAATAATATTTTAATTCAAAAAAATTACAATCAGTGTTGAAAAATATCTGCAATTTTTATTGCAGTCTACGGTATTAAGAACAAAAGTTAAAAAATCATTTGAACTAAAATTCATTTAACATGAAATTCATTTGAAATCAAATTAATTTAACATGAAATTCATTTGAAATAAAATTCGTATTTAACATGAAATTCATTTGAATTAAAATTCATTTAACATGAAACTCATTTGAAATAAAATTCATTTAACATCAAATTCATTTGAAATAAAATTCGCATTTAACATAAAATTAATTTGAGGTAAAATTTATTTAACATGAAATTAGTTTGAAATAAAATTCGCATTTAACATAAAATTAATTTGAAATAAAATTAATTTAAAATAAAATTCATTTAAAATAAAATTCGCATTTAACATGAAATTCATTTGAATTAAAATTCATTTAACATGAAACTCATTTGAAATAAAATTCATTTAACATCAAATTCATTTGAAATAAAATTCGCATTTAACATAAAATTAATTTGAGGTAAAATTCATTTAACATGAAATTAGTTTGAAATAAAATTCGCATTTAACATGAAATGCATTTGAAATAAAATTAATTTAAAATAAAATTCATTTAAAATAAAATTCGCATTTAACATGAAATTTATTTGAAGTAAAATTCATTTAACATGAAACTCATTTGAAAGAAAATTTATTTAAGGTGAAATTTATTTGACATAAATGTGACTTTAAACATAATTTTATTTTACATGAATATCAATTGACATAAAATTCATTTAACATCAAATTCATCATTTGAAATAAA